ACACACACACACACACACACACACACACACACACACACAGTCGTACAAGCACACAAGGAAAGTTGGGCACATGTTTATGGTGCCATGGCTGTGAGGAGTGAACTTTCAGAAGCTTTTGGAGCATAGTTTACTATTGAGGGGGGGTTCATCCTAATGGTGGTAGTCCCTTTTACTGTGAGGACGATTTCCCAGAATATGATCAACCTCTGTGGCGATGCCTGCCGTCATCTTTGTAATAACCTGTGGTCCAGAAAACAAAGGAAGAGCACACGATCAGTGCTGTTTGACAATACCACATAATGACATGATTATCCAAAATAGGATACTATAGGAAATTGTCTTAATACTTGAATTGCTCCCAGATTCTCTGTTAGTTGCGTCGGATTAGATGATCCCAGCAGCACTGAGCTCACTCCCTCGTTCCTCAGGCACCAGGCTGCAGAGAAATAAATTTGTACAGTTGCACTTGTGGTATCAAGGTATGAGGCAGTATTTAGAGACACACTGAATTTGGTATTTAGCAGCACTTTCTATCGTTGCCTTCACAGGAAATACAAAGTTGTGGGTCTCAGGGTGTTAAAGTTGTCTCTTACCTATGGCTAGCTGTGGCAAAGTACATCCAAGCTTCTCTGCAATATGCGTCAGTTCCTTCAGCTTGGCTTGTTGTTTTCTTCCATCTTCACTCGTTATTTTCTCCCTCAACCACTGGTATGGCTACACGAGCAGTATAAAATGAAATCATTACTACTAAGAAGTCCCTCTGTAGAGCTAAAACTTCTGCAGTCCCCTGATAAAAACAAATTTGTAATCCACTTGATCCAGATCTTTAGTTGAATCTGCACCACATTGCAAATCTGCCCCTGATCTGGATGCAAACCAAAATGTAATTCTTCTTTGGATCATATCCCACTAACTAACAAACAAAAAGACAAAATCATTGGCGCAGTTAATGACACCTAAAACAGGCAATAATAATAACACAACCATATAATGGTTGTAGTAGCTTGATTTAAGTGAAAGACTTTGAACATATACCACTATAAGTGGCTCTAATGAAATTTAATTTGTACCTTCATCGACGCCCTGGAGGATTCTGGGATGCCGTTTTCATACTTTCCAGTGATGATTCCACAGGCCAGAGGGGACCAAGAGACCACACCCACACCTGGGGTACAAGGGAAACCATTGAGCAACATGGATACATAAATCTATCACAGCCATAAATCTATTTAAATAATTCTCAACATCATGAGAAACATTCTCACTGTAGACTCACCTATCTTATGGTAGAGCTCTGGTAGCTGAGTTTCCACTTTGTCCCTCTGGAAGAAATGGTACTCAGCCTGCTCACATACAGGTGGAATGAGATTAAACTGCCTGGCCACAGAATACGCCTCCTGATTGAATGTGATTAGGGAACAAAAAGAAAAGAGACATGTTCAAGGAGGAGGAAAGGAAATACTGACTTTAATGCTAAAAGAGATTTTTTTTGTTAATGGAGCTGGTAGTTTAGAGAGGGCGAAATGGAGCTTCACATTTAACAACCTTTTCCTGAAATCTTTCAGGAAACATAAACGTTTTGAATGTATTACTAATTAAGAAAGCAAATATGTATTTTTATTTAAAATATTATTACAGAGATAGCAAAGAATAATTATTTTTTTTAAATATATTTTTAAGTAACATAAAATCTCTAGCACCTAGTAGAGTCCAGTTTCTCAAGAACTATTCGTCATGGGATTTTTTTTTGTGCAAAGCTCGTCCTTATCTCAGTTTTTTGTGACAACATGAAAAATGATTTGTTTTGCATCACTCACCATGATCTCCATAGCGGACCACCGTGATGTCCCCCAGTACATGGACATCCCCTGGTTGATCACATGTGTCATTGCTCTTACGATCTCTGTCAAATGTCAAAGAGCAGATAGATTGTCAATAACTGAACAGCGGATGGCGCCACAATTTCAAATTTATATAACAGTACTGATACTGTATAAATTGAATTGAAACATCACAACTCACATTATTTTCACAAGAGAATTTGATTCACTTGATTTTCCATCAGATAATTATATATAAAACTGCTTTTGAGGAAGATTTAAAGATTACTTCAACAACTTTAATTAAAAAAATAATAACAACAACAACAATAATAATAATAATAATAATGGTAATAATTATAATATTTATTTTCATAGCACTTTTTCTTTCTTTCTTCCATGCTTTACAAGGAAGAAATGATACCAGACAGGTAGACAAAATTAAATAATAGATAGAAAGAATAAAACAATCCTTAAAGTCACCACCTTCAGGAAAGTAAAAGCAAAGTGGATCATTGAAATGCATGTGAGTGTATTGTAACAAAGGCTCGTCTCCATTTAAACTCATGTGTAAGCATAAATGACTCGCTGGGCTCACACTAACTAATGTGACCAAGTGCCGCAGGGGTTAAATGAAGAGACGCAGCCAGCCTTGGCAAAATGTCGCTCGTGCAGTTTAACAAGTTACAACTGAACAAGCTGAGGCCACAGTGCACTCTGGTGTGTATTTGTGCCTCAGGATGCAGCAGAGGAGTAATAGTGGGTGGAATAGAGGATAAACAAAATTGTATTCAATAAAAACTGCATTAAAGTAGTTTCTCAAAGGAGTTTTAAAGAAGATCTGCTATAGGAGGAGGAAACACAGTAATTATTGAACTATTATTTTGAATGTGTATCTTGCTTAAACTCTCTAATTCCCAAAGAAAACAAATATAACAGTATAAAGTAATTCATATGATTGGTTTTGTCTGTAATTGCTTGCTTTAGCTTATAATTAGCATGAATTCCATTAATGAAACATCGGCTGTAATTAGTTCAGTGCAAATTCTGGGTGGAAAGTATGAAGAGTGAAAATGAGGATGAAGAGATGAGACCACAGGAGAGTGTGATTAAAAAAAGAGCAATTCCTTTTCATCAGTGCTTCTCTCTCTGGACCGAATTGTTGCTCAGTGAGAGACAGAGAGCAAGTGTGTGTGTGGGTGAAGCAGGTGGGAGAGTAGAGGAATAACAGTGCATCTGCTCCGTAAAGCAAGAGAGAGGAGCAAGAGATTCGGAGGGATGCATGAGGACAGACAGAAAAACTTGTGAACCAAGTAGGAACCATGGAGGCATACACTGTTCACAAGAGTTTGTGAATATATGAATAATCCACCTCGGTGCCGGGAGGGCGAGGACGACAACTCAATTCACAGCAACGACCATGCTAGGCTTAACATTATGTGACTTTCCACATGGGTGCAATGAATCATCGAGTCCAACAGCAGAGGCTCAGGTGAGATGTCCAAAACACCATCAGCACCCCACTCACAGAAACCCACTGCAACTTTTCAAGTAATGATGTGGGTATGAACAGCATGTACTGTGTTATAATGACATTGGTGTACAATTTAAATCAGAATATCCCTGCAACTCTCATAAATGTACACGAAGCTGTGATGCAAACAAAGCCTCTCTATCATCCCCTGGTGGGTGGCTGTAGAAAGGTCATAAACCTCTCCTCCTCTACGTTAACAGACGGGACATGCGCCTGACTAGTCAAACATTTTTTTTGATGCTATAAAAACTAGAGATGTTCCGATAATGATTCCAATACTTGAACTTTGCGTATCAGGCTACTGGTCCGATACCACTGCATTTGAAAAAACAACAATGTATAAACGTATTTTAGCAGAGTCATGCTACTAACCCTGTATCTATGATTGCTAGTGTCGTAATTGGAAACACATGGAGCTTTCAAGCATGACATATTGCCAAATTGCTGACATTTTAGCGAGCTCAAGCTAATGTGACACTACTGGCAATCACTTCTAAAAACGGCATTCACCAGTGGCAGTGTGGCCCACCTACTTTTTGAAGCGGAGAAAAACGAGGACAATTTCAGTGATAAAGAAAAATGCAGTTTTATCTGGGTGAAAGTAAAATACTTTAAAGAAGTACCATTGGATTTATTTGTCTACTCATTTTCAGCAGGACTCGTGACATTTCGGATGCTGATGTCAGTATTGAAACATCTCTGACTAGGGTGAACCATCAGGATTGACCGACTAGTGATTGGTCGATTGCATGTATCACTGGGACGTCAATACTGTAGCTCTATTCTGATTCCTATACTGCGCAGATCAAATGTCTTGCCACAAGATGGCATTCAGACATTTTGGCTCCATTGGAGGAGGAAGTGGAGATATGTTGTCCATCTTGCACTCTGTTCCAGTTTTGTATGTGCTTACAAAAATATCAAATACTGTAAATAGAATATTGCACAGAACTACTAATGATGTTTCATGCTGTTACAGCAAAAAAAACATGTGTGTGTTCTGTTTTTTTGTGAGCGCATGCATGAGATGTGTGTAAAATTCTGGGAAACTATGAGTGTTAAATTCACCATCGAGTCCTGATTCATTATTGCAAATTTGCAAACTTCTTGGCTGCTGTGGGCAATATCAGCTTGTCCTTGAGCCGTCTCACAGCAGCAATATGGCACAGAGTCATGAACATGTGGTCAAAACTGCAGCCAGCAGGTATCACAGGGTGTGAAAGAAAACATTGAACACACACTGATCTCCATATTTGTTTAGGCAAGTGTCTATGAGGAAGTCTCTGGAGAAAGCGTCATACTGAGTGTTTTTTGAAAGCAAAGCTACTGCTCATCCTTCTCGTGCATTCACACAGGCCTGTGTCGATGGTGGGAGAGAAGATTTTGATTGTGCACAAATGCTGCTGAACGTATTGAGGGAAAGTCCTGACTCGATGTGGTTTTGATTTGTGTTTAGTATGCTGCCGGAGTCCCATTTCACTTGATTCTCCAGTGAAAAGCCCTTTGGCTAGAGGGATTATTATAAAGTCTATTTATTGATGCCATGTCTGCTCTTTTCCTCTGCCTCTGTATTCTTTATTCACTGTGTCTGGGGGATTTTCATTTTTGCTCAACTGAATGGATTCAATTTGCTTGATATTGCTTTGTCAAATGAAAAAATCATGTTGACTGACTGGGTAGAAACATTGTGACTCGGATGGTTTGCTCTTCAGAATGAAACAACAAATCGACTATTGTGCAGATGCTCCTGCTTTAGGCACCATTTCAGCATAAAGTGAGGACCTTATGAACTCTATTATTTGGTGACATGTTTGATGAAATGGCAGCTCAGCCTGTGACCCCTTCAAGGAAAATGTCCATGTCGTCTCATCACTCTAAGTGACAGCTGCAACAGGACAATACAATAGGGATAATCAGTGAATGAAATCAGGGCCTCGCAAAAAAGGGAGGAGGTTGAATATTTTTTTAACATTTGTACCTTTTTTATTATTAAACTGGATACAAGCCAAAAAAGAAACAAATCAAGAAAACAAAACGGGAGGAGAGAAACCCACAAGAAGGGATGATGGGATTACGAAAGCATTGATGGTGACAAAGGAAGACTGCGGCCATGACATCACTTTTTTGTCCTCAAGGGTACACAAGTTGTCTCGCACAAAGTCAGAAGCAGTTAAAGTCACAGCAAAGGATGAATGCAAATCCTACAGAAATGCATGCACGCACACCTTGTCTGTTTGTTTTCATTTAGGCAACACAATCAAACTTCAGTGATTTTTTATTGATGCGGTTAATCGCGTTTAAGCTTCAGGAACACGTGGGTGTGTGAATCAATTCCTCGGACGTGTGCATAGCAAGTCCTACGTATACTGCAAATGCCCACAGAGGTAGAGGCAGAGTGGAGATCTCACTTTATCGTATATTGGCGCTGCTGCTCTAAAAGAGAACTCATTTAGGAAACTTTTAAGTGCTAATGCATGAAGATAGCCAGTGCTGTGTGCCTGTCTGTGCATACAGCCCTGCGCCCTGAACTTGTTAAAAGTGACAGACCGTCGACAGTGATTAATGATGGTGGCCTTACTCCACTGTAATGAAGGATGAAGCAATGTGCACAATGTTGTTACACTGATAAACGAACCAACAATGTTGCAGAGCTGCTGAAAGCACAACACGCTCATACTGTATGGAGGATAAGTGTCTCTATGTTTATTTTCTATCCCCCCCATCCTTGATCAATCAATCCATAAATCAAATTAGACTTTGACGTCAGTTGTCAATAGTGATTACACTTCATCTGCACAGACATCTTAAAGTTTGATGGTGCTGGCTGGTCGGTCTGCCAGTCACCACCACTACCAGCAAGTTTCCTGGGAGAATAAGTATGACAGATTGGCTTCCCACAGTCTGCTCGCTCCCTGGGGATGAAGTATGGGGGGCAAAGGGGAAAGGCTGGAAAATATTTCTGTGAGACCAGTAGGGCTCCATCCTTTCAGTCGCCACTACCTGCGGACGAGAGTTTGTACTGTGGAACAGAAGAAGAGCTCAAGTATCTGTGGTGGCCACATCAAAAGAGAGTTAATTGAGGAAGAAACTGGAAGTGTGCAAAAGAAATTAATGGCGACATCAGTAAGATGTGTGTGAAAGGCAGCACAAGCGTGTTGAAGGGACAGAACGCACAGTAGGGCTTGTATCCAGCGAGACCGGCACAAAAATACACCAGCTTCCCCTGGGGGGGCAGATAATCCTACTTCTGAAGAACAGGGAGGGCTGGGAGCGGGTGCAGCTCAGACACCCTGTGGAAACTAGCAATCCCACAGAGACAGGGAGAGAGGGAGAGTGGTGGACTAAAATAGAGGAGGAGAGATGAGACGTGTGTGTGTGTGCGTGAGTCAGATGCACGCACAGAAAGACAAACCCCTTTGGACAAAGGCAGAGGTCGCCGGTCCAGCGAGGGCGGTGGTCCTGTCAGTATTTCTCACTTTCTCATGTTACAGAACAACATGCATTGTCGCCACCCCACCCCTCCTCCAGCCCCTCTGGGGTCTGGTCAGGACTCACTCACCCTCCATGGGAGTGTTGCCGTCTGGCCGGTTGGCAAAAACCACGTCCACATACTCAAGTTGCATCCTCTGGAGGGAGCCCCTTAAGCCTGAAGAGCAATGGAGGAAAGAATTTGAGAGATGTACACTATTTAAGAAAATAAATAGAATCATTATTTGTTTTTCAGAGTGCTGGAAAAGTGTCATCATCCAAACTGTACAATAACAATAAATAGGTCTATTCCCAATAAGATGATTTCTAAATACATATCCCATATACGCCAGGAGCTTTATCCTTCACTCATATTTACTGCTAATACCAATGAACGCTGCATGGTCCACTGGTAATAGCAGTCAACAAGATTTATCACTTGCTAACATGTATCAATGATACTGTGATAAGTCTCCTGGAGACTCACAGTATCATTGAGACATGTTAGCAAGTGATAAATCTTGTCCCTTGATACTTTTCAGACATGGACAGATTGGTCTGGATCTGCAGAGAAGACTTATTACCCCCTGCATATAAAACTAAACATCCCTGCTATGCGGATAAAATATATTTACAGTTTCATATAAAAATGTGACTGTTTTTGCAGCACGCTCAATTCATGGTGATGCCCCAAAACACTCTGCCCCCAGGTAAATGGAAAAATGGGGTAAATTGGATCCTGGGGGATTTGAGGTCAGCATGATCACAAACGTGGCAAAGGGACAGTTGACCACATGTGACTCAAAGCCCTCCAGCTGCAACTGGCCTGCAACATCTTTTGACAGAGCTCATGAGCAAATCTGAGTTGTCATATTCAGTCTGGTAAAGGGCCAAGGTTATGGGACTCTGAGTTCAGTCTTTCCAGCACAACAAAATACGACATTGTTCTCAAAATAACCTCAGACTTCAATAATCTGATTTCCCATCATCACCTGGAGGATGATTTCCTGTTTCTGGCCATTTTATCTAAGGAGATGATTGACCAGTAGAGCTTGTTTGAGATTAATTAAAACCTCTTTGTGTAACAGAGTGATGGTTCTGCACATCATCAGCTGCTCATCCACTCAGAGTTGGGCAGATTAATCTGATACTCCAATTTTTTTCCCTCTTCAAGTTAATCACTGAATTATTAAGGCCAGTAAAAAGGAAAGCTGTCATTAGGCTGGAGGGTATCATGGTTCTATCAAAGACTGTATATAAAGATAGACAGCGCATCTCCACCTCCTCCTGTCCTGGATACGGGTGGTGCCGCCTTGCGCTCCTGATGTCAATTAGTACCAGAGTCTAGCGATTGTGGAGTGGAGCCACAGTAACAAGGTTCCAATACAATATGCTCTACCGATCACATCAGTCTCAGCCGCCAATCATGACATTTCACCCTATTTTTTTAATAGCACCGGATAATTAACTGTCAAAACTAAGAGAAATAAATATTTAATGTGTACTTTGACTTTTAAGTTTGGTCCATGTCCCATCTACAAACATGGAGGAGGTGGGGTTTATGACCTATACTGCAGCCAGTCACCAGGGGGCGAACATGGGGTTTTGGCTTTGCTTTAGGGAGCAGTCAATGAGGTGAAGCAGCTTTTGGTCACAGTCTTCCTCTTGTGAAATAAACAAAATAAATAAAATGCACATTTGACATTAAATTTGTTAAATGTAATCACCTTATAGAATTGGGTTGCTTGATAATCTTTTCTTTTTTTTCATTTAAGGTTACCGTCAAAAATATAGAGCTGCCTAATTTACTCAGCAACAATGTCAGAAACGGTCAGTATATTTCATTCACAGCGAGATTTTCAAAGGTCAGACAGAGAATTTCAGGATAAATCAGTGTCGAGCTGAGTTCACCCCACAATCTCCTGGAGAGAAGGAGTCTATGTGGATGAAAAAATAGGCACCACACCTGTGTGATCTTTTTTCCTGGTTATATAAATAAATGTTGTTTTGAAGGAGGAACCAAACAACTCAAAGACAAGAGGATAATGAGAAAGATGGAGGTCAGGAAAAAAAGGTTACGCTCATTTCTTTTCTCTTTGGTTCGGCTTTGAGCATCTGTTTGAGGAGCGACTCCATGCACTGAGGAGAGGAGGAGAGGGCAATGAACTAATGTCAGCAGATCAGACCCCTCTCACACACACAGAGAAGAACAGATGAAAGATGAAAAGCAAGCACAGGATGCTGTCACAAAGGAGGACAGCAGAGTAATACAGAGACACAGCACTCTTGAGTGTGTGTGAGTGTGCGTGGCAGATAAGTGCCAGAGGCTTCTTCGTCGCCCGCTAATCCCAGCTCTCCCCACCACCGTTGGAACCACTTATTCCTTCTTCTGTCAACTGCACTCCCACAGTCCCAGAAACACCCATTACATGGATCTTAATCTGAGCATGCACCATCATCACCAGCAGTTTCAGCTGTCTGGTGGATTAGCCGCAGTTCACTGACTTTGAATATTTTTGGAGCTGAGGGAAGATGATAAACCGCAAACCTACCGATATCTGCGATGACGAATAATGCATTTAATGATGCGTTCAACAAAAGTCTCTTTGAAACCATTAAACTGTCGAGGAATCCCTTTATCCTGTGAGGAAAAAGGTGAATAAGAGAATTTGGGTTCACTGTCACCTCAGAGTTTATCAGCACTGATCTGAGCTATTGGTCATTAAGTTTTGACAGAAACTCAAACCTAAATATCAGTGCACAGGTCTAATAATTAATTGGCTGGACATACAACAGGAAAACAGTGTCACCAAATGTTGGACTCAGCCAATTCATTAGCCTGTGGTGACATGTGCCACACCGGTGTTGACAGGGACACCTTTCTCTCACAGATGCTACTGATATCATGTGGACAGGCAAACTCAGTTCAACTAATTAGCAATGCCACCTTTACTTCCCCACTCTGTCAACAGCTCTCTCCCACTTCATCCATTTCCACTGGTCAAAAAAAACATTAACTCTGCAATTAGAATGCATAGTTGACATTCACTTCTGGATCAAAGAACTAAACGGGAACTTGACACCTGAAAGAAATTGATTTCTTCTCCTTTATTTGGCAGTCTGCACCTTTTCTTCCACAATGTCATGACGCACATTGAACTTCCTGGCGCATATGAACGTTTGTATACTTTTTATTTTTTATCTTGTGAACACATTTTTTTCTTTGTACCGTGCAAAACGCAACAATTAAGTGAGAGAGCTTCTCAGATTGCGCCTCATTCTTTCAGAAAGGCAAACTTCTCTTACTGACTTTAGGACAGGAGTGTATCACCTTTATTTAGAGGTTTGCTCACGTTTAACATATCTGTGCATACCTGCTAGCTCAGCGTAAAAAAGGTAATTCTATTTCTCGTTCCTCGTCCTTTTATTCCAGCACTTTCTGATTACATTCCCCTTTCTATTCTTTCGGGGTAATGTTGCAGAGGCTGCAGTGAATGCTAATAATGTGAGAAAGAGCTGAGTCACTGCAGGAGGGGCAGCAGGCTGTGGACCGTATGGTGAGTTTTTTTGGAAGCGGGGCGGATCAGGCCAAGGTCAAAGGAAAAGTTTGTCATTACACGCACGAGCGAGGCCATAACTCTTCTGAAAGAGGAGTGAAGAGGGTAGCTGCGAAGTTTGTCACACTCTAGGTTGCAACAGTTTCTTAGAAAGTCACAGATTCCAAGTGAACAGACACAACTAATGAGATTTGATGTGAAATCGTCAAATCAAAATTCATCTGCTTGCATGTGCTGAGAAGAATCAAAGAGGGCGGGAGGAAAGGAGATAAAAGAGGGAGATTACAGGAGTGTAGCGGGGCTCCGAGTAATGGGGTGATGTGAAGGACAAAGCGGAGGAGAGGAAATAGACTTGTTACCTTCAATGATGTGTTTTCTGTTGAGGCCTCTCTCTGTCTCTGCTCTACAACAGGAGGGAAAGAAGTGCATGTCACGAGTGTGAAGACACATTCCTGCCCATACATGAACTGAATCACATTAAAGCCTGCATACCAGAATACACATTACTGAAGACAATTACACCCACTGAACACTCCCCAGTGGGTCCAGAGAATAGACTGTGCAATGTCACTGATCACCTCCCAGTTTGCAGTTTTAATTATTATTCTGGATTGTTGCAGAAATTGAAAACTGTATACAATGAACATATTTAAGCTGTAATGCTTTTAAAATGTTTGTGTACCCTGGGTACTTGTAAACTTTTCAACCAACAGTTTCCATAGTTGTTATATATGTACATTAAGTTTTATACGGTACACAGTGTACTTTGCTTGGTTAATTACTTGCTAATATTACGTTTTACAGGCTATCATATTAATTATATATATATATAATATAATATATAATAAGAATATAATATGTTTTTATTGAAAACATATTTCTAGCATTGTTTGATCTACCACCATCTTAACCAATTACAGCATAAAAATGGTCTTTCAGATTCCTGTATCAGTAAAATAATGTAATTAAAATCATTGTATTATTGTGAACATGGAAGGAACGTTGTCTGTTTTGGTCTCTACCCCCTCCTGAGGCAAATATCTGACTTGATATCTGATAAATGCTCCATTATGTTAACTTGCTATAGTTAATACCCTTGTGTACTACTGTGCAAGTATCAGTGATTTATAAAATGTGTAACTGAAATCACTGTATTATTATAAACATAGGTCTCCATCACATCCTGAGTGAAATATCTGACTAGTTAGCAAACTCTCCATTATGCTAACTCAGTTGTCGCTACCCTTGTGTAGCGCTGAGCCTGATGTGTACGATGCGACGCAGGTGAACAAAAACACAAACAAAGCATGCTTTTATGCTTCAGTGATATTTCATTAACCTCCCCTGTCATTACTCGATCTATAAGATTCTCCCTGTCCCTTTCTTTTTCTTTCCACTTCATTCCTTCAGTTTCTTTCTGCTCCTGTGTTTTTCCTGCTTTCTCAGTTGTCTGTTATTTGCCTCGTCTTTGCTTCATTTCACACTTTCTCTTTCTGCCTCTTCTTCCTGTGGCGTCCCAGCCTGCCATGGTTAATGATAATAATAATAATGTTTTACAAAAGGAACATGCAGTCTGTCCTCCACTTTTTCATGTCTCTGCAAAAGGGTAAGAAAAAGTGCAATAGATACTAAGTGTACATATATCTGTGTTTGGGCGATGAGATGCTTGACAACCCTCTCAGACGCTCACAGCTCATTCGGTCGGGGGTTAAGTAGTTGTTCTCTAAATCCATCCAGTGTGGAGACTGATTTCGTAGAGAGGATGAGCTGAAATTAAATTTATACAATTACACCCGGGCCCTACTCTACTGATCTACATCAGATACTTAAAAGGAACCAGAGGACACATGTGGATGTCCTGGAGGAGCCTCAGGATGAGCCTGAAGACTTAAACAGCAAGAAAAATGTGACTATTGCCGATTGAGAGCAGAATTCCTCAGCGTGACAAAGAAGCAGAAGGCTGAGGAAGAGTAAGACGGAGCGGGTGAGAGTGTGGCCATGTTGTTATGTGTATGTGTGTATGCCACTCAGCCTGCCTGCCAGTGGCTTCTCAAAAGTGTTCAATCCCATATCACGCTCTGTGTCCGCAGGCGTACGTTTGAATGTGCAGCCTCTTGTTGGTGAGAGAGCATCTGAACATCTGAGACGCAAAAAACACATATACACACACACACACACACACACACACACACGCACACAAACATGCTTGCATGCACATACACTTACTTTCCTCCCCAATAGAGCTTTGTGGTGATCACCAGGCTGGATCTCCTGAGGGAGGAAAGACAGAAACCATCAAATGATAAAGAAAGACTTAAAAGTAAACTTTGTTAAAGAGATGAATTTGTGTGTGTGTCTGTGTGAGTATGTTCACACCTACATGTGCACATGACCGCATGTATCTGTGCACATGCAACTGTATCATCATCTTATAACGATTGCAGCGTCCTCCAGTCAACTTTCCTGCTGCAGTGTGAAGTGGCAGATGGGCTGCGCTCCTTTTTCAAACATGTCATTCATCAAGTATGAATTACAGAGGGGATGATTTTCTGTGAAATCTAACAAGTTAGCTGCCTCACTATAACCCCCCCCCCCATGCTTCAGTGTTCAATAATTTAAACAGATCCAGAGTTGAGGTGAAGTCAGGCTGAGAGCTGGCATGGGTTTTTAAATGGCAATGCACATAAGTGAGTTTTACTCCTGCAGTGTGATATTTCATTTGTACAATTTGTACATATGAAATTGAAGTTTGTCTGTGCTGCTGCTCTTACGCATCAGCACCTGCTTGGTATTTTAACTGTGAGTTATTTGCAAATGTTCTGTTGCTGCAGTTCTACAAAAATAAATTGGACGTGCGCTCACACACACACACACAGACACACACACACACACACACACACACACACACACACACACACACACACTACCATTTTACTCACCCCTGGTGTGCGTTAGTGTACAGTTATTTCATCTGGTCTTTAAACAATTTGAATAACTCTGAATATAAATTTTTTTATTTATCTATTATTGATTGAACAAAAAGTCCTCACTCTGTATTGGTCTTTGTCCAATGGTACAAAGTACACACACACAGACACACAAGTTTTAACGCAACACAAATGTTTCTACATGAGTGGTTCCTAACCTGGGGTCCTAATATAAATCTAATGACTCACAAGATTAAAGAAGTAATAAAAGGGAATACATATTTCTGGCACGGATCTGTCCATCACTTGGGTCCAGACAGAAATATCTCACAGAGGACCGGTCCTCTCCTGTTTCAACATGAGAGTGGCCCCAAGTGTACGACAAGGTGGTTCACTGGCCCTGAACCAAAACCCTTTGGGATAAATTGGTACAGTGACTGCGAGCCAGGCTTTATGGCTCAACATTAATACCTGACCTCACTTAAGCTCTTTTGGCAGCAAATCCCTTCAACCAGGCTCCAAAATCTTGTGTAAAACCTTCCCAGAAGTGTTGAGGCTGTGCAGCATCATCATAATACCCATGTGTTTGGAATGAGAGCTTCAACAGTGACATGTGAACGTAATGTTCGAGTGTCCACACACTCTGAAGTGTGTGTGTGTGTGTGTGTGTGAGTGTGTGTGTGTGTGTGCATGTACACACATTTAAACCTATTCTTAGAACATATTGAGAATCTTTGTGATTGTACTTTACCTCCAGCACTTTTTCTTGATGATGTTTCCCAGGATTATCTCTGCTCTGTGAACACACACACACACACACACACACACACACACACACACACACACAGGAGATGATGGGATTATACAGTGTCTCAGGCTGCTATTTCTTTTAGTATGTAAGCATGACTGTTATCTGCCAAACATCTGCAGCGTGCATATCTGATTAAAAATCAGAAGGAGTTTAATATAAAGACCAAACGCCTCTTGTGTCGTACGCCTTAACTTCACCAGCTACCTTGAAATTAAGATTCATCCCCATGCGGCTCCACTGCATCCCGCATTATTCACCGCGACAATGTCCAGACCCATAAAGTAAGATAGAGCTGTGGACATAATGGGCAGTCTCCAGTGATGAATACGATTATGTTAATCACTTTAGAGTCGAGGCTAGCTTTCATTTTTTTGGCCTCCTCTGGTGTCTAATTCCTGCTCTGGGGCTGAACCCTGTTAACATCTTGTGTCCTGTGAGGGAGGAGGGCTGATCAGAGACCAGAGAGGATGGATGCGGTTGTGGGATGAATGCGGTCACAAATCAGAGGCGTCACTCACTTCCCCCCCGAGTAGACCTCAGCTGTGTCGAACAGGTTGACCCCGCTCTCGTAGGCGATGGTCATCAGCTGCTCCGCCACCTGACAAAGTAGAGAGAAGTTGACGCTGATTCACTCCAGTTAATACGCGGTTATAAATATTATTCAAATTACACTTTTCAGATAAAAAAAGGATGAGGATGAGAAATTCCTTGTAGAAGAGCAAGGAGGGTGAAACTGCAGCTGAGATACTCATGCTTGTTGATCAAAGTTGTTTACTGCTCAATATATTTCTCAGACTCTTTTTGACCTAGTTCTCGTGCCTGCAGTTCATGCAGAGCCGTACATCGGTCTTGACGTCTTTCTCCTTCTGTACTCGTCTCCCAGTTTTCTTTTGGTGATTCTGTTTCTCTTTGTGTCAATTAGTCCCAGTGGTCATCAAGCAGTGATGAGCTGTCCCCAATTCTGTGTTTCCCCCCATTCATGGCCAGAACGAGCCACTGAAGCAGGGCCCACTGACAGGGAGGAGTAGGACCTGATCGCTTGGCCTTGGTAGAGTCAACAGGAACACTGATTACCATGGCCAGCTAACATTACTCTTCACTGCTCCCATGTGGGTGCTTTAAACCGCCTCATCAGTTGTATTTGCGAGGTCAAGGACTAATAAAAGATTTCATCTGCTCATGAGCTGTGATGCCTGAAAGATGGATCTGACATTACATCTTACCTCATCAGAGATCTGACCTCCAAATGTTACCCATGTGCCTGTGGAGGGGAACGTCAAAGATGTCAAAGAGTTTTGGAACAAACCAAAAAAAAACATGACAAACCTTCGGCATATAAAAAGCTAGGAAACTGTTTAAGTCACGCATTAATTCTTACATTGACATTTTGGCTTGGACACATGACACATGACAAAAACACCATAATCACCCTACAGCCATCACAGCCAAACGTCAGGGTTGAGTGCTGATAGATTGAAAGAGAAAAGGCCCATTGAATGACACATCAGTGATGTTGTTTACAGATGTGTTGAATTTAAAAGAATTTGTTGAGTTGTGATGAACATTTTTCTTGATGAAAAGTTTATTTCTTTGTCTGTTTTACAAAAAGACTACTGGATGGATTACCAGCAACCTCTGTGAGAAGATGCGGCATGAATCAGGGAAGACTTGAAATTGAATTTTTTGCAGCTCCTGATCAGGGACTGGGTCCGAGATAAAGTATTGGCTTATGGATCTTGATGACAAAAATCAGGCATGTTTAGGAGATTGATATCTACGAGTGTGAGCAATTTGCTGCAGATCAGAAAATAAAAATCCTGATCTAGTGAATTTAAATGTGGATGCATTAGGGGACAGTTGGACCTCAGTGGAGGTATGCGCTCTACTAAGTGCCATTCTTGTTGTACAAATAGCAGCATTAGGCTTTGGTCCCTTGTTGGTTCTTGCAGGTGAACACATCATTTTTCTGTATGCTACTTTGTGTTGGCAGAGAAACCGTGCTCTTGACATGGTGTGGATCATGTTTAGGTTCTGTTCTCTATTCCTTTGCTTCCCCTCAACATGTCAAAACAATAGACATCTGATAATCATGGTTCTTTCAATGCACAGTTGAGGCTACAGTTCGTTAATAGGTTTTGCTACTATCATGTCTTATCTTGTTTTGTCCTCATCAGCCCTTTGCTTTCCTTGCATGATTTTTCCCTAGATAAAGTAAAGGTTCTGTTTGTTTGTTTGTCCGTGAGCAGAATTGCTCTGCCACAGATTCCCACAAATCTTGGTGCAAGGATGGGACATCAGCCAAGGGAGAGCTCATTAAATATTGATAAGGATTCAAACAAAGGGGTGGATCCAGGATTTATTTTCTGCTTTGCTTCACATTGTGAGACAGGCCATTGACATTTTAACCAATATTCCAGGTAATGAGTGTGTGCAATTAGGTGGGGATCCAAATAAAAATCTGAAAACAGCAGTTGTAGTTTCACTGAGTCGCTGTATGGTAAAAATACAGACCTCTAACTACACGTGTAGCTGATATAATGTGGACTCAATAGAAAACCAAAATTTTTTTATATCCCGTTGCCGTTTTAACATGCAACAGATGTTAAACAGATGGAAATTTGGTTCTTTGCCTACCACTGGCTCATTTACAGTTTTGGTTGAGGTGATCATCGATGAGTGCTGACTGCAGTCATGTACGATACAGACCGAAGAAGCTCCAGCTTCTCTCCTTCCTTCAAACAGAATAGGCTGAACAGAGTTTTGTTAGAATTTTTCATACTCTCCTCCCAGTCTTCTGTTGCCTGATCCTGTCACCATCTCCCACTAATGAGAAATAATGCAAAAGTAGTTGTTAAACCAGTGACTGCACAAGTGAAACTGCAGCAGAGAGTATGGCAAAGTATGGCAGCAGATATGTGTAGGATATGTTTCTAGGATGGCACGAGTCATGTAAAAAAAAAAAGGCAAATTATTATCTGCTGCCCAAAGTTTAAGATTATACAGTTAAATTGTTTTCTTGCTTTAGGAGCTGATGCATTTCCCGAGTAAATGTATGAATGTTTATCCTCTCTGTGTGTGGCTCAGGAGACAGAGCAGGTTGTCCAACAACAATAAGGTTGGTGGTTTGATACTCGGCTCTTCCAGTCTGCATTTGGAAGCCCCTGAAGGCTGTTAGAAAATAAACATCTGGCTTAAAGGCACAGTGTGTAGAATTTTGTGATATCTAGTGTTGAAATTGCATGTTGCAGCTGAACACCCCTCACCTCACCCTCTCCTTCCAAACATGAAATAGAACCTGTGGTAGCTTCAGTTGTCATAAAAACTCAAAAGGTGTTTAGTTTTTCGAGTCTGGACTAATGTAAAAAACATGGCGGCCTCCGTATAGAGGAATCCCTCGATGTAAATTTGAAGTATTTAAATATAAAGGGCCTTTTCTGGGCTAAAGAAAACTACAATTCATACAATTTAGATGAAATGAACTAGTGAAAACATCATGAGCATTATTCTACATTAAATTTCTGCCAATAGATCCCTTTTACCTAAATCTTACAGACTGGACCTTTAACCTCTCGTCTTTATCTGCCACAAGATAAAACACAAATCCATGTATCTCACTTAGTCTTGGGTCTTGTGAGGCAACATCCTCACACACGTGAATGCACTCATACTACAGGGATGTAGGAAGAAATGTGAGCACAGATTTTTGTTATAGATTTTCTGATCCTGTCACACTCTGCTCCTGTCGTGTCCCAGTACTGAGAAATAATTACAGAAGCTGGTGTTAAATCTGTAGTTGACTGCCCCGGACTGGTGAAGGCTCAGTCCCATTTTTCTAAACTGGCAATGATCAAGTGTATAATTATTGTTCTCAATGATTATCCAGTGCACAACCTGCGGCCAATTTGGAAAAACACTCACTTCCTTTACTTCCTACTGAGAGTTAAAGGAGAATATAAACACCACTCGTAAATATGATTAAAGTGGTAGAAGCTAGCTTAGCTCATTTTAAAGGCTGGAGCGAGGAGGAAGACGAGAAGAAGAAAAAAATAATCTACCCTCAGTAAAACCACATTTAAAACTTGAATTTTAACTTTGCACATTTAACAGTTTTTGTGTGGATTAAAGAAATGAGTTATAATATGTTAATTAGTCATCTTGAGAGGCGGTGGTAGAGTGGGATTGGGAGCTAAAATAAGCTTTTCCCCAAAAAAATGAAACGAAGGAACCCACATTGAAACAAATGAAGTGACGTGTTTTGATCGCCACAGTCAATTTTCTTTTCCCTTGCTCCTCTCTACAGAAAAGTGGTACAAGAAGGAATCAATGTTTTGCTCAAGGGCACTTCTGCACGACTGAGACTTGCCAATATTGAGGCTTCAAACTAATCTATTTAAGTGGTCTCCCCGTTTATTATTCCTCCCTGTTCTGTGCTGCTGTGGCTTAAATCACTGCAGAGACAATCAAGCAACTCATTGACAGATTTTCTATCATTACATCCACCATCAGGTTATGTTTTACACAAAACCCCCTAGACAGATTATTACGAAATTTAGTGGAGGGATGTGATATGAGTCAAGGCATGAATCTACATATTTGATTGTTTCTTTTATCATTTATGCAACATAAGGCTTTTTTTCTTACATTTTCACCATTTTCCCAGGGAAGCATTTCTGGATCTGGATGAAAATAAATCAGGCTTATTCAGGGGACTTATTTTAATGAGTGTGTGCACTTTGGTCCACATTAAAATCTAGCAGTTTTTAATATAATTTGGAGAGAGAATCCGTGGGCTCTTGATATTAGTGCTGTTCTGAACCTGCTTGGTTGGAATGAGTCTGTGGTGATGCTGGGTGCAACTTTCCTTTTGAAACTGTAAAAATGTCCTGCAGTGATTGAGCCATGGAGAAAAACAACCTGCTGCAGGACTCAGTCCACAGAACCCTGAAGCTGCTGCACAAAGAGCTGTTCACTTGTTTATTCAAAGTTCAGGAAAGCTTGACTCAGAACCCAAACTGGAGAATCAGTGGTCGTACTCGAGAATGCGCCTGTGGTGATGGAAAGTGTCACTTATATTGATGAGTCTCAGTCTCAGTGGCTGCAGAGCGCTGGTAACCTTTTTATTACAGGTTAATAATATTCAACATATTGCTTGAACAAATCACACCAAATTCGACATAGCACTCCGTGGGGCCCTAAACAATACACATACCAGGTGTGAAGCTGGTAAGATGAACTGTTCTCGAGATTTGCTTTCCACATAGACAGACGGAGATTTCTGGACTCAGCAGATACTGTAGATATTCTGTATCTCCATGTGTGTGTGTGCACTCTGGTGCGGATTCAAATGAAAGTCTAGCCCTGGTGAATTTAAATTAGGTTTCATTAGAGGACCTGAAAGGAGGTATGATATTTTCAGTATCTACATGATCCTGGGCAACAGTGCATCATTATTTTGCCTTTCTAAAGTTAATTTGGGTTCAGAAAAACACCCTCAACATGTGACGTGGCACACACATGCTGCAAGACCACACATGCACACATGCACATATGAAGACATGGCCAGTATACACACTCACATACACACATGAATGTGAACGTTTACCCTCGGCGTGCATTGGATATGTGAGATAACTGTGTTTGTTTGAAACCGATGCTGTTGATTTAATATTAGCTGGAGAAATATTAAGTCTCTGCAAACAGCTGCTTGTGCTCCTTCATGACTTTACATATATGTATTCAAGATTCATGAGCTTTAGACTGGTGTGAAATGACTTAGTGAAATTCAGAACACTATGCTCTATTTGCTGTCTCTACATTCTCTCTGCACACACACACACAGATGAGTTGAGTTTGCTTACGAAATCATTAAACAGCTAAAGCTGATCAAATGTACTCACCGAGCCCCAGACACGAGACACGCAGTCCAGATTTCCCAAGGTTCCTATGAAGAGAAAGCAGAGGATGAAGTTGACGTGTCATCAATCAAAATGTAATTGCGGTTACAGTGCAAAGCATCAAATTACAGTCACTGGTGTTTTGTGCTTGTGGAATAATGTTGTAATTTTGCATCACTTTGTGTGTAAAAAGGTTTGTAGCAGTAGAAATATGTGGTGGATGTGTAAGTCACATTTGTGCAGGGATAGTTTTCACAAAGTCCGAGAGACATACAAATTTATGCTCCTATAAAAGTATACTGCATAAACAAAGCTTAGGGAACAGTGTCCAAGATGTCTCACACAACCGCAAAAGCCATAACACAACAACAAAAGCCACAACCGGATGCAAAACCATAACACAACAAAAAAAAAGGAACACAACCGTAAAAGCCACAACACCACTACAAAAGTCACAACCGCAAAGACCAGAACATAATCGAAAAAACCCCAACACAACCCCAAAAGCAACAACACAACCGCAAAAGCAACAACACAACCGCAAAAGCAACAACACAACAGCAAAACCCATAACACAACTACAAAAGCCATAACACGATTGCAGTAGTAACAACAAAGCTCCAAAAGTCTAAACAAACATACAAAAGCCACACAGCACAAACACAATCACAACAGTAGTGAGCGACAACACATGTTGACCATGAAATGTGCACTAAAGGTGTGTTCCTTCTTTTTGGCCACTCCAAGCACCTGTACCGTAAAACCTAAAATAGACAAGCATCTCATTTTAAGTGGCGACCGATTCACAAATGGCGGCTCTCAGTAAGTAACTGCACATTTCACGGTCAACATCCATCGTCCCTCACTTTTGCTGTGGTTGTGTTTCTGTGATGTGGCTTTTGTAGCGCCTCACGTCTCAGCACTGATTGCTGCTTCCGCACTGGAGAGACGAACAGCAATAACATGCAGCAATTTTGTTATAATGGAGTTTACAAAAAGGTAACAAAATAAAAAGATCGATTGTAAGTGAGTTTAATAATAAACAAGGTCTGATAGTTTCTGGTGTATCACACACCTGAATCATGAATCAGAGATAACAGAGGGGGCGTTGATTTACTCAATCAATGTGGATCCCACCTTCTCCAGCAGACACTGACAAGTATTCTGCTCAAATTGAAACAATAAAATGATTCTTTGTACTGCAGCAGTGGAGTTCGCTTCTTTCTGATCAGTGCTGCTTTCTGTCCCCCCCCCCCCCCCACTCAATCCCTCCCTCTTTTGCTCAGAGGCTTTGACATTCTGTTACAGCAGGGAGCCCTTTGATCCTCAGGCTTTTTTTTACTGTTGCTGTCTTCCCCCCCAAAATCCAGAAACCTGCATCATACCAATATTCCTCAAGATAGCCCCTCACACATGTGCCTCCCATCCTTCTGTAACGTGTCCCTCCACCTATTACCTGTGTAACGGTGCACCCCCCTGGTACGCAGCTCCTCCATAACACTCAGTTTACCTCCAGCTGATCTGCTGTGATGCAATGCGCCACTTTCAACTCTCATCAACACCGTGAAAAATAAACCTAGAGTTCATGCCACGCTCATCTCAGAGTCTCAGCCCTCCACCTCACATCCAGTTTTTACAATCTGTGCCACATCAAGTCCAACGGAGCGGGGAGCTCATGTGGAGCGAGCGTTTAATGGCATCACATCGGTGACAACAGCAAGAACAGATTGTTATGCCTCCGGCCGCCACAGGTGTCTTCCCTCGGCGGGATGTGGAACGCAGTTGAAAGAAAACTGGAGGCCGTGGGGATTGTGCAAGGACAAGCCGCCATCTTCAGACAGGCAAAATGATTTGAGGCAAGAGCTGTGAAATTGAGACATATTGTTTGACAGAGCCATGAAGGCCACATGCACACACGAGAAGCCGCTCTCACAAGCAACACACTTCATCTTCACAGGAGAATATGTCCACGTACTTGACACGGAAGCAACCTCCAAACACAGTGTATGGATTTTTCCTTCCTGCTTGCTTTTGCAGGCATTTACTCATAATTACAACAAATGAGGCCTTAAAAGAAATGCAGCAGTTGTGTTGTCGTGACAACAAATGGCCTGAGCCTGTTGAGACGAAGGTAGACTAATCTGAGGCCACGCTATCTAACCGTGCCCGATTCAATTAGAAGTCCAATACGAAGAAGCATCCGTCATCGAGTCAGATGTCCCGCCGAGCCGCCGAGATAAAGAGGGACAACATATAAATCAAAGTGTTTGTATATAAACACTTTGAGTGATTCAATACATTTATGGATTATTTGATGCATTGCGCATAATCGAGGAGCTGATAGAAGGAAACAGTGAGATGGAGCTCGCTGCAGTTACAAATCTTAGGGTGTCTGTGATTTGGTGGAGGAATTTGGGTATTGTATCCTCCAACGCTCTGATGTATTATAGATCTGATGCTTCTGATCCATGAAAGTGTCAGCAGGAGGGCTGCACTATAGGTCAAATGGATGTTTGTGTGTTTGGTTGCATTAACAGCAGCTGAAGTTGTCAAATAATTATAGCAGCATTTACCTTCAGTCCTCATTAAGAAGCTTTTGTCTGAATCTTTTTATTTGTTTGTGTTTTTTTATTAGCAGGACTAAGCAAAAACTACTGAACTGATTTCCATGAAACTTTATACGTTAACTTTTAGTTTCAGACTGTTGGGCCTTGGTGCATGCATAACCTCCCTGCAGTGCGTTTCAGGTTGACACAGTTTTTAACTGTTGATGATATTTGTTTACTGTTATTTTTCATGCACACTATCTCCACACTAAAAAACAAATTTGTAGGTTTGCTCCATTTCCAAATAAAGCCGGTTGTCCTTGGGAAAAAGCTCACTTTTTGTTTTTGGAGATCCTCCATTAAGTAAATTTGCAGTTGCTGCTTCAAATGATTTCTTAAGAATAGGGCATAAACAAAGCTGACGTCCAGCAGCCAGAGAAGCTGCCGCTTCACGTCTTTATTCTTGTCCCTGGTGTTTTCTGGGAATTCAGGAAGCGGCAGCATCGGCCGCACCTGGTTATTAACCGCAGTCAGCTCGCGATGATGCATTAATAGATCTGTCTGGGCCTGGGGTGTTACTGCCAGCAGAGGCATGCTGCAAAAGAAGCTAATGATTCAGGGGATTACAGCGTGTCACTGGCAACAAAGGGCAGAAAATTCCAGACTTTTTGTTTCAGAGAAAACGAGTGTTTGTGTGTTGTATGTAGGAGACAGTGAAGACAACCGCTGCCAGGACACAGGATGTAATTACATTATATAATATCTTGTAAATAGTAAACTAACTGCACTAGGGAAAGGACAAGTTGTCTATACAAACTTGCACATAAACAATTCTGCAAGCCAGTGAGTGTGGCTCGGTCCCTCATGCTTGAATGGTGCCCAAAAGAAGCCTTGAAGTAAAATGACAAATGAGTCATTTGAAAACGCCCCCTCACACAAACCTGTCACCACTTATGAACATCCTGCAAGCTGCTACTGTAAGTAGCCCTCTCTGTTTTCAGCAGATCCCCATTTGAAATAAAGAACTATCAAATGAACATCTGGCTGATTTTCTGCACTTAAAATCTCAAAAGAACTGACCTCTCTTTTGTGGGAGGATGTTTGTTTTTTTTTCCTGGAAAGCAATGATATGGCTCTCAAATCACACTGGGGCATTTCTCATATGGTTTATTTCCTGAAGCTGGGTAGCTTGAATCAATATTTGTCAGCCAATACGTTTGTCAAGGTTGCAAGTAAACAGATAAAACTTCTCACTCGCTGGGGGATTAATGTAGACTAAGCAAACCCACACAAGGCCACCTTGATGGGCGGAGGGATTAGACAACGCCCACCTCCTCATTTTTTTCCACCGCTCTCCTGATGGCGGCCACAATGTTGTTATCAAGATAAATCAGTGCAGCGAAGAAAGGCGGGTCGTATTCTAAGAATATCAAAGCCGGGGCCCATGTGGGTGGGAAGAAAGTAGAGAAGTGAAATCAAGCACTTTGAGGGAAAAAAATGAAGAGATGAAATGTGAAAGAAAAGCTGCAGCTGAGTTGCTTCGGGGAGAAGAAAAGTCATGGGCCTCATGGATGGAGAAGAGAAGGAGACAGAGAGAAATGAAGAGGGAAAGAGAGAAATAAACCAAGATGTGGTAGCAATAGACTGAGGCTCAAGTCCAAGCCCTGAGTCTAAGCCATCCTCTACAGTTAAATTCTTCTAAATGACACAGAACGGGAAATAGGAAATGACAGCAAATTCCCTACAGGGGGCTGCATAATGTGCATGTTTGTATGGAGAGAGAGAGAGAGAGAGAGAGAGAGAGAGAGAGCTATAAAGTGCAAGAGTCCAGATTTGAGATTTAGCTTTGTAATACCACAGGGCCAAAGTCGACATAGTTTCAACTTTCTTCTTAATTTTTATGCACAAACACTTTTTTTAATGTGTTGTGGTCGGTTATTACAAATATTTATACTTCTTTTTTTCCTGATCTATAATTTAAACATCATACGATAAAACCTGAGTAACTGCCGGGTAGAGAGGCTCACACAGAATCACTGTATTTTTGGCAGAGACACATGACTGAACTGTGGGTTGATCCTGTATTGAAAAAGATGTGGGCAGATCTGAAGTGGTAGATTCCGGTACGCTGTGGATTTCAGAGAGAGCTCGGCATTGTGGAAAAAAAAAAAAAGAAAAATCAAATCACGATGAGTAGAAAAAATTTCATACAGTGCTGACAGAAAGTATGTCACGGTATCTCTTCAGGTGTAGCTTCTCAGCACGTTATTTTTAGGTGCATTTTTAAGTCTGCAGGAAATCTGACTGCACGATCACGTTCAAGTATCTACGTAAACAAACCAAAATAGTATGCAAAGGCTGATGAGAAAGTAAACACTTTAAGAGAGAGTTAGATTTGTAGGATTATTGTGTGTGTGTTGTGTAACTGTATCTGAAGGTGTGTGTGAGTGATTTTTGAATGCGTAAGGAATTAGCAAATCTGCATTTATAATCTGTGTGTG